GGGGGGGGGAGAAGAATCTTTTCCTGATACTCAAGCTTCATTTTTCTCTTAAAAATTGGTCAGGATCAACAGACTTGAAGAGTCTTCCAAGGGGTGTTGGGATTCCCTGGTCTCGAGAAAGACTCTCTCCAGCTTTTTCTCCAAGTTTTTTCTTTGCAGAATACCATTGCCTCCCAGAGATCAAAAAAAATTCCTCCCACTTTGATTCCCTTCCCCATTTATTCCTCTGTTCCTGCTCCTCGTTTCATTCTTGTCTCTGCTTCATAACTCCCTCATTATTCATGTCATTCCTCCCAACTCTCCAAGCAACATGCCATTCTTCATTTTATTTCTATACACGTGAAAGGGGAGGGAGTGGGAGAGAAACAGGAAAGGGAAGACAGAGCTATGGACTATCTACCCACCATGAGACTGGCTGCACTAGAAATGCCAGTGAGAACCCTTAAGATTAGCAAAGGGGAACACCCTGTTCAAGGGTCTTCATCAGGCAGCTCTGATCTTTTATGGTGAATGATTCTACCATTGGCCTAGGAAATCTATTCTAAATTTCTTCTGATTCTAATTTCTGATACAAATCACCATAAGCCAATACATTCTAAATGCAAGACACAAACAACTCCCCAAGTGCAATAACAAGTATCAATATATTCCATCTCATTTATTTGTACCTGTTTATTACTAAATGCATCAAACAAGAGAGACTTCTTGTTTTCCCCACATTAAAACTTCAAAAGATTTTTTTTTGCCTACTTACTTGGCCACAGATTGGATGACTTTAGAAGAAGTATCCTTGATATTAGTGAAAAATCTCTCTGTTCCACCCTTAAGAATATCAAAGAACCCTCCATATGACTGGTCACATTCTGCAACTGTCAGGCCTGAAATTATAAAGCAAAATCATAATATCACAATTTAAAATAAAAGCCCACATTTTAAGAGAACTGTGCTTCCAGATCTCTTCAAGTGACAAAGCCAGAAGTGAAGTGACCACACAGCTTAAGGTGAACACACCAACAGAATCCACCTAGCATTTATGGGGCCGGAACAAAGCCTCCATCTTCTGGAGATTGAACTGTACAATGCAATTTCTCTGTGTAGTAAACCAAGATGGTTTCTACAAGCCATCTCACTACTTAAGCATTTTGTACTCCTTTCTGAAAAGAAAGATTAAATCAAATGACTGGGCCCATGTACCTTTGTTGTATCAGTGTTTAAGTTGCAAATGCCTCTTCATTTACTATCATCTTTCTCATATGCACCATACCATTTGAAAGCCTACTTCACTATCTTGTACAGTTTCTTGGAAACACCGGTTTGCACTCCAGAAAGCTAAATTTGTTATCTGGAATACTAAAAGTCTCTTTTCAACAAAATCTGCTGGTAACCAGCTTAATACAATTTATAAAAAAAACAAACAACTTTAAACCTGCATGGGCCAAATGACCACAGCATTCCACTTAGAGGACTGGAGTCATCCTAGAAACATAAGTGTGTGGACAACATTATACTACCAAACTAGTACACTAATTTGCCTCATTTAAGAATTTTCCCATCACATACATTATTTTAAATTTTGTTCCCCATAAGCTGCCTACCAAATGGGTAAAAGTAACTCAGAAGAAAGAACTGAAATGCTGTAAGACAGTATCTATTACAGGTAAACTAAGTTTTTTTTTGTTTGTTTGTTTTTTTAAAAGGGTTCATGCTTATGAAATGCAGATCAATTTAGCTGCAAAATACAAGTTGGGGGGATGACAATGACAAACCAACATACATACACAAGGGCTGTACTCTTATAATGCAAAATCTGATAGCATGATTATATTCTGAATCACCAGTGAAAAATGTCACCCTCCCACTCAACCTGAATTTCTACCATAAATCTGTTATCTATGGACTTTGGGGGGCTTTATCACAAATTTAGATTTCAAATCAACACACAGGACAAAGACTATTTACAACAACTGAAGTTCAAATAAGCTCTTTTCCTCTTATAGTTTTATAGTTTCTAAGGTCGGAAGGGACCCGAGCAGATCGAGTCTGACCCCCTGTTACTAGTTTGTAACAGACAACTAGATCCCCCCTCAGCCTTCTCTTGTGGAGGCTGAACATGTTCAGGTCCCGTAGCCTCTCCTCATAGGGCCTGCCTTGCTGCCCCCTGATCATGCGAGTGGCCTCCTCTGGACCCTCTCCATGTTGTCCACATCCCTCTTGAAGTGCAGCGCCCAGAACTGGATGAAGTATTCCAGCTGCGGCCTGACCAGTGCCGCATAGAGTACTAGTACTCGTAGAATACTTTTAAAATAGAAGTTTCCATTTGAGTTTGGGTAAGATTACCCTCAACACAATCTATGTTTGTGTTTACTGTATATTCCAGTTGATTATTTTATTAAATTTTGCTGTAATGGGTATCGTTTAAAAGCTCTGATGTTCTTTGTATACACAAATAAACTGCAGTTTTATGAAAATGACTTATTCAAATTGTTTTCTTCCATATGTCAGCAACTGATACTCAGTGGGAATGTCTACACGTGCATTAACATGCTTCAGTTAATTAACATTAAATCTAGTACTTCCATTCTGAGGTACTAGGAAAATGAGCATTAGTCTGTCTAAACACACATTAAACTAAAGAGCATGGTTTTTAAGAGACGCTTAATGCACATCAGCCTATTTTAATGCACATCAACTAAAAGCACGGGCTCCTACAGACATGTGGGGAGCCTGCTCCAATGCACTAGAAATCCAGTGCGTTGGAGCACACTTGATTAAGTCTGTTGGAGCATGGAAATCGATGTGCTCCAGCAGCCTTTCACATCACGTGCATCGGCATCCACATGCATCCCCATGCTGAAAAATGGCAGTAGGGCACTTTGAACTACAGCTCATCAAATGTGTTTTATTTCAAATCACTCCACCGGCATTTTTTCAGTATGGGGGACACTGATGCGTGTGACGTGCGGACACTTTTAATTAGCACAGCTTGGTAATTAAAGTGCCTGGCACCACATCTCAAAGCACATGTAAAAATGCCCCATATTTTTAGTGATGCTTTAATGCACAGTAAAATAGACTAATGCACATTAAAGCACACGTGTAGATGCACCCAAATGTCAACTACTGCATAAAAATTGACAAACTAAGTCAAGTCTTCTCTTACCTAAGAAGAATTTAGGAGAAAATTCATATTGTCAGCTTTTAAAAAAAAAGTCTAAAAAAGGAATAAATTCAGAAAATTACACTCTTTACAAGCACTAGTCAAACTTGCTAGAAACTTAGGCTAAGTTAATTCTTTTAAATTTTTATGAAGCAAGATATTTAACAGCAGATCACTCAGAGGTTCACATGTCTGCTAAAAACTATTTCATGCTTCATCAACTCAAAGTTTGTTTTCACATGCAACAAAGAGTATGCATTTTAGGGCATCTGAAAGAGGCAGCCTCTCTAGTACATACCTGCATTGTACACATTATTGAGTTGTCCTGCAGGTTTAGAGCTCTGCAACACTGAGTTTGTAGACAGTCGAGGTTGAGCATTGTTTCCATAGCCTCCATTTTGCTCTAAGAGCTGCAGAGATTCATATCCATTAGAATATTTTTTGAACTTTTACATACAAACTGCATTATTTAAGAACACTTTTGCAAAATGGTAGCTGAATATTGTTCATCACTGAGTCTAATGTTGCCATTTAAACTACTAAAAGAAATTGGAGATGCATTCTTTGCATCACAAAGAGAGGCAATATTCTATGGCTTTTGAATTATGACTGTATTTGTCACTGTTTAGGTATATCCTGTTATTATTTCACATAGTTCCAGGTATATCCTGTTACTCCTTGTAGTTCTATTAGCAAGACTACTTTTTTTCTCCTGCAGAAACGTATCGCCCACATTCCATATGCTACTACACTAGGCACTTGTCTAGGTCTCCAAAACATCTCCATCAACGACTCTTCATTTTAAGCTGTCCATTACAGCTTATATAAGCTGTAAACTGTCCATTCAGAAAAATTCCTTTAACCTGTAGGTAGGCAGGCAAGTGACCCAGCCATCTAGCAAGATCCTGATGACAGCAAAAATTCCAGCAAAAGATTTGAGAAATAAAAAGCAATGCATCAGGATATGGAAAAACACAAAACCATACATTCCTTTAAAATGAGGCTTTAAAATGAGGAGGAACAGTTGCTCCTCAGGGCAACAGTAATAAAATCAAATTTTAATTTAAAGTAAGTTATTTTATGTTAGAGTAGGCATGAATGACATTCATGCAGAATATAAAAGGAAGACCAAAGCTGGAAACAGACATCATCTTTGGAGCACAAACCAACTGTGCCACAACCGTGGGGGGAAAATGGTCCACTTGCAGGTATACCCCTCCTCCCTCAGTTACAGTATAGGGGAACCCAGCCCTTCAGAGGATACCCCAGTACATATCTGCAAGAACAGAGAGGTGACCTCCCATAGGGATTTCCCCTTCCGTGTTCAAAGACCATATTCCAACCCAGAGTGCAGCAGCATGATATACACGTTAGGGGATTCCGTCTGCAAAGGATTCCTAGGGCACAACAACAAGAAACGCTGCCAATGGAAGATTCCCCCTCCTCATTTGTAGACAAAGGTCCCTGGAATCCCCTGCAGGGGATTCCCATGGTGTGCATATCATGCTTATGCACCTGGGGACATTGCCCAACAGGACTGGGCTCCTGAAGCCCCAGGAGTTTCCACAATAAACAGAGGTCAGCCACAAAAAGGCAGTACAAATTATGGACTAGAGTCATTGTCTGCAGCATGACAAAGGGCCAAAACATCTGTTCACTTAAGTTTTGTGGCACAATTTTTATGGTAGCACAAAGGTGACATCTGTTTGCAGCCTAAGTTGTATAAATGAGGGGGTGGCTAACCTTCAACACAGGCAGCCTTAGTGTTTGGCTTGCGAGACTGGAAAAGGACAGGGACAGATAGGGCAGACAGCACAGGAGCAAAACTGGGTAGGGAGCACAGGAAAAGCAGCACAAAAAGAGCAGCAGATCAGGCAGTGGAGGGGGATTAGAGTGGTACATCTGCCAAAAAGACTGGCTGGAAGTTATGCTTTTGCTAAACCTTACAAGCAACAGCAGAAAATTCAACAATCCAGGGGATGCCAAGTCGCACTAATTTCACTTGAAGTGCAAAATTAAAGGGGATTTCTTAAAACCTCCTCCTCATTCATTTAAGCTAAATGAAAGTAAGATCATCCTTTTGCACCAATTTAAGACACTAAAACAAGCAAGGCTTGCAACAGGGGTTTTAGCTTAAATGCTCTATTACGTACCTACGGAGGTTTGCAGAGACAGAACCTCAATTCACACCCACACACTACATGTTTCCTTCCTCAACTCAAAATCAGAGTCAACTGAATGTCTCAAACCGAACATGTTGCTACTGAAAAAGTGATTTGAAATTAAGCACCTTTTGAGAGTCTGATAACAAGGAAAAACCACTATCAGTTTACTTTTAAAGTATCTGAATACTGAGGCTGAGATTTTCAAGGAGTTTAAGTGAGTTTTACATCCAAACCCTATTGAATTTCCAACTGTACTTAACACACCTAAAATCCCTAAAGTTGTGTCAGCTAACTGCTTTGAGAACTGTTTTTAAGCCTTCACTGATCTAAACGGGGGGGGGGGGGGGGAAAAA